CATCAAAACATGACCGAGACACCGTCACAACATGATTGGGACACCATGACAACATAACCGGGACACCATCAAAACACGACCGGGACACCATCACAACATGACTGGGACACAATCAAAACATGATCGGGACACCATCACAACATGACCGCGCCACCATCACATGATCGGGACACCATCAAAACATGACCGGGACACCGTCACAACACGACCGGGACACCATCAAAACATGCCCGGGACACCATCACAACATGACCGGGACACCATCACAACATGACCGGGACACCTTCAAAACATGACCGGGACACCATCACAACATGACCGGGACACCATCAAAACATGACCGGGACACCATCAAAACAGGACCGGGACACCATCACAACATGATTGGGTCACAATCAAAACATGATCGGGACACCATCAAAACATGACCGGGACACCAGCATCACATGACCCGGACGCCATCAAAACATGACCGGGACACCATCAGCCCACCAGCTCTGACGGTGACCCGACGGCGCCCGTCCGCCTATTAGTTTTGCAAGACCCCATAGCATGGCTATTGGGGAACTAAATACAGGATAGTTTAACTTCAGGAAAATTCAGGAAAATAGTTTGATTTACAGTAATATTGTCATACTTGTTGTAATCACTGTCATACATGAATTGTTCTTTGACTATCTTTCAATGAATTTTCACTTCAAGAATTACTTTGGAAAGTTGTATAGGTTGCTTACTCCAAAATGACATAGCTGAACTACCCAAAAGAATGAACAAATAAGTACTGTACTGTAAAATCAATCATTAACAAAGAGATAAGTACGCCATGGTTCGCGTACCTTCTGGATTCAAGATTGAAGATCCCACCCAAAGTCCTGGCAGAATCTTCAGTCTTGAATCCAGAAGGTACGCGTACCATGGCATACTTTTCTCCATCCTCAATCCGCTCCAAGTACTGGAGTCTTACTTTTTTTTCTTTCTTTCTATGCCCATTGTATACATCCGAGGAGAGTGTTCACCTCAAAACAACCATTTGGAAACATGTCACAAAATATCAGTTAATCAAAAATTATCACACAACACACGGCAATTTACAGCAGAAAACACACACATTGGGTGGGTATTGGAAGGGGGGTACCATATACATTTTTATATTGAATTGATATGCATGTACGCGTGCAAAAACATGCGTGCAAACAGCAAGGACCAGTTCACCTTTAGGTGAACATGCAAACCCTCTCGAAGCATGGTGATTGCAGCAACAGTGGCAGCTGCTTGCCGGGTTGAGGTTGTAGTGGTGGTTGGACACAGGTCGCAGATCTATTTTGTCCCGCCCTCCCTCCCTAGTTTTAATGGCATGTGGCATAGTCGATGCCCTCTGCCGGTCAGGCAAGCCAGGTTGCTGGTCCTGGTGCAGTTGGGGGAGGGTGGGAAACCGCATAATACCCAGATTTCCTCCTACAGCAAGACACTGTAATTAATCAAGAAACATGGCACGACAAGAGCAACCCTTGCAGCTGCACTTGCATTGGCCTGCCCTTCACCTGATGATACTCAGTCTGCGCAGGTCAGGTGAGACAGTTAAGCTTGGTGACTTGCTGGATGAGGAAGTGCACTTAGCTGCATAAGTACCTGTTAGTTCAACTAAATGAGCCACTCAAGTCTGAATTAACAACTGGGCAATATGCTCCACACAGCTTGCTTCGGCCTGCAGCAGGCCTGTCGCTTGATGAGCTGAGGCCGTGCAAAGGGCGGCCCTCGCAACTCGGTGCAATGAAACCCAACACCAGAGAGGGGCACCCAGGCCCACGGTAGGTGGGGGTTGCCCGCAACTCTTGACCTGAACACAAGGAGATCAGCAAAAGAGTCGAAGAGCAATCGAAGGATGGTGGCGAGGCCTTCCTCTCAAATCCCGAGGACCTAAAGACCACAAAGGCAACAACTGTTTAAACTAGTCAGTCCCGCTGTGAAGTGTCAAGGAGCAGATGGATGCGGCCCAAAAAATAGGTATTGCAGCCGTAAGGTACTTTGATATGAAGCAGTTTTCAGCTCAGCTTACTCTGTCAGTTTCCTTGTGCAAACTGCCCCGATGTTGAGCTCGGATGAGCTGTCAAGACATTTTTGCGAGTCTATTCAGGAACAGGACTAGCAATTATGTCTTCAACTGGGACAGGATGTTAGACGCAAAGGTGCGCTGTACAGTGGGACTTTACAAGCTGACATAGGTAAAGCACGCCTCCGTCATGTGTTTTGCCATCGATGCATTTTGCTCAGGGCAACTCTGCAGTTTTTCTTTTCTACGCCTATGCCAGAATTCGTGCGCTCAGCTTAAGAAGACAAGTGCAACCCACAGACCCTTTCCGTAACAAAGATGCATTTCACACTTCGAGTGAAGCCCAGTCCATCCAACGCAAAGCTGGCATTGACGTTCACAGCATTCCCTCAAACTGCTTGCAGGCGAGGCATGTTTTGATTTGATTTGATGAAATATGTTCAAAACAGCTGACTGTTTGAGGGTTGCTTGGCATCAGCATTTAGTGGCCAAGTGTGTGCTGGGCTGCAGGTGAAACACCCAGCAGAACGAGATCTAGCGTGGGACCCCCAAGCAATGCCAACTCGCACAAGCAAGGTCAAGACCTCGCGCAACCTCAAGCTGGTATAGGTATAGGTATGGAGAGACAGCTGGACCCTTTCCAATTCACAAAAGGCACTACTTCTTCCTTATGTTATTTCTACCTTTTGTTCTCCAGACGTCTTTGCTTTGCTGCATAGCTTGTCGCTGGAAATCGTTTCTTGTTTGCACTTCTTCAGAAGTCCCTGAAGTTTGATGAGATCTGCCAACATGACAATGCGATTGGGAATCCCTATGATATCTTAGAATCCTTCAATAGAATACATTCCTCACAAGGGCGCTTCCATGGAATCCCACCGTCCAAGCCTCGCCTCACAGAGGTACTGTAGCTCTTGCACCGCCACTGCTTCGCGCATCATCGTGCATCCACGTTTAAGGTGCCTTTTACACAAACAAACATAATGAAAGAATGTGTAATATATGGGCACCCTTCTATGTTGACTGACATAGGATTTTCCCCCTCTCTCTCTCAGCCACTTCGCTGTGGCCGACTCCAACAAAGCTCAGCGCCCGCATGTGTCTTATTTAAAGTGCCCCACAGCGATGTCGGTATCCAATCCAAGAATCTCTGGGCCCACTCGCATGCCGCAAGGGATGAAATGGCGCCATGCCCCGTCGGACCAAGAAAACTCCCGACATGAGGAATACCCCTTTGACGATGGTCGTCCAAGGACACCAAAAACAAGGACAAGATGGGGTCAGTATCAGGACCGACCCACCTACGGCACCGTTCATCTCTATGTGTCAATCATGCATATTGTCTAGTTTTGTAATCCAGGTTCCGGGTTCCCTTAGCTATGTAAATTAATCAGGGGTGATCCTGACGTATCAATCACTGTATGTGTTCAATCAATGTTCAAAACCTGGGCACAAATGACTGACAATCCAGCATGCAAATCCAGCATGCAGCATGGTATTTGTCAAATTACTTGGAAGCATTTGAGGTCATTACAAGGCAGGTGACCCCACACCAGATCAATTTGTTGTTTCAAATTAATCTGGGTAGGGGATCTCTATTTGATTGAGGAGTGAGTGCAGATGTACTGAACCCTTCAAATAAACTTTTGCTCGACTCAAATTGACAGATCGCAAGACCTCAAATTGACAGATCGCAAGACCCAAGAGGAAACGTGAGGAAAAGATTACAAAAGACTGGAGCATACCATTGAATGAGAAGGAACTTTGCCTCGACTGAAGAAAAATAGACTTGTTTGGAGGTACCCCAGGTTCATATTTTCACAAGGAGATCGAGCAAAATACTAATTGGGTCCAAAGTATGGGGTTTGATTATATATAATGATTTTGTACTAATTGAGGGATAACTGGAGAACCCCTTCCCTTTTTGAGTGAATCTGTGTTGTATGATGTTGTATGTGTCATCTATGCCTTGTGTCATTTGCATCACCAGATCGATGAAAGGCCTTTCTACAGTTTGAGCAGTTTCTCACTATTCTCACTGCCAGCGCTCTACTTCATGTCCTATACCCTCCGTTCACAATATAGCACAACACCTCCAAATCAAACACTGCAAAACATTGCATCTTCCAATGTGTTGCCTTTTTTCTCCCACCACTTCCCCTCCAGATGGACAATTCCGTTCCCAAACGAAAATGCCACCCCCCGCATAGCTAAAGCTGACACGAAGGAGTGAGACCAAACGCTGATGTTTGCTGCTCAAGCTTGCTCATGCCCACACCGTTTTCCTTGTCATCGGCTCTGGATTTCATTAGGTTCGGTGTGGAAGCCCACCTTTGAGGCCTAGCCTGTCCTTTCCACTGCGGTAGTCCGTCGATTACCGCACTCGCTCTCTCCTTCATCTCCGGCTTTGGCTTTGGGACTGGGCTTGTCCTTGCCATCTTCCGGGCCTTTCGTCTGGGCCGTCTGGGGATCTCCTGCCCCTTTGTCCTCCCAGGCCTACTTGTATGAGTGATCAGTGATCAGGCTGTTGAACTTCTTTGATCACAAGTTCAACAAGTACTCACTACTCCTGAGGGTGGACATCTAAGAGAGGAAGGTGGTTGAGCTTAGCGAGGTGGGCACCACGGCTGCTGAGACTCCTGAATATTCAGGTGATGCTCTTTGCTTGTGTGGCAATCTTCGTGGGGGCAAGCTTTCCGTCCGACAGAGGGCTGAGCATGCCTGGTCAGCTGCCTGCTGGGCCAGATTTGTTCTTGAGGGACGGGTCTTCTTCTTTGACGCTGTGAAGTTTGGGTCTGGGCGCAAGCAGGTGGTGTGTGTTCGCAGTCGCTGTGCTAGTAGGCCTGCTGCTGTGTTCTTTGTCATGCACCTGTGCATGACAGCTTTTCGCGGGTCACTAAGACCTCTATGCTTGTCTGTTTGTCTGTTTGTGATGCTGTCTGCAGGTCTTGTTTTGTCAGTAGGTCGTACAGGGCCTTGGCATCCACGATGAGTCGCGGGTTGTGTTGCAGCTTGGCTGTGTTGCTGTCTCAAGGCGTGGAGACCATATCAACTTCCAGAACACGGTGGCGTAAAGCAATGCATCAGATGCTTCTGATGCTGCCTGGCTCTCTGCTGCTAGGCTTGACCTGGCCACACGGGGCAATTTCCAGCTTCTCCAGTCGATCAGGTGGTAACCACCCTCTTGACCTGTGGTCACACTCTATTGGACCATGAGAATCAGGTGACCGCCCTGCGATGTCAGAGCGGCCTGCTCGCGAATGCGGCGTCGCTATATGCGATCAGTGTGAGTTATCTGGGCTGCCGATCTTCTGGAACTTCAATCCGACATCGCTGTATTGCAAATCTCAAGCACTTGTTCGCCTCCTTGAGTGTGGAGAGCGTAGCTTTGCTGGTCAGTCCGGCCAGTTGGCTGACTGTTGCCTGGAGGTGTGGGCTGCTTTGTGTAGCAGGCCACTGGAGTGCTCCCACTAAGCCTCTCAGCATCGTTCGTTGTTTCTCGCTGACCGGTTGGTCGCCATTGGGGTTGTCCTCAAAGGATATGGGCTTTTGCTTAGCCAGGTAGCTGGTGTACTGAAGCTCGTAGTGGTGTTGGTTGATCCGTTGATCTTGGCGCCACAGTACTCGATGTCCGAGTCCTGTTCCCAGGTGCGGAAAGTGAAGGACTTCTTCATCTGTTCAACAAATTTCCGGAATAATGCTTCATTGTCCATTGCTTCGCAACCGAGGATGTCATCGACGTGTACTAGGCCAAATAGGCCAATCAGTCGTGGATGTCGGACGAGGTTGTCGTTGTCATATTTTTGGTCCAGCCACTGTTCTTCAGGCATGTTCAGGCGCCTCGTAGTTGTAGACCATGAAGGGACACGGATCCAAGGGGTACAGCACTGCTCCAAGCTCGGTCACAAGCCGTATGGCAGTTGCATCAGAACCTTGTCCCCCTCTTGGCCTTGGAGGCCCGGCATCTTCTTGGCGTCAGCCGGGAGCTTGATCCATAGAGCCCTGTGACTTGGATGTTCTTTTCCTTGGAGGAAAGCTGTTGACGCGTCAGCAGAAAAGGTGCTCCAGCCAGTATTGGCAGCGTCCGCCCCATGCATCCGGCTCTCGAAAGCCTTGGGCGATGAGCCTGGCTTTGGCTCTGGGTTCGCCGCTAGGCCACATGGACCACTTCAGAATGAAGTGTGCCTTCAGAATGCGGTCAGTTCAAACAAGCTTTCAAGCTCTTTGCGCTTGGCAGTGGGGAACGCAAGGCGGTCTTCCATGGTCGCGCGGCGTTCACTCAACTGGTCTTTTCTGGCCTTCATGTTCTTGGGTCGTTGTGTTTGCTCTCCTCAAGTGTGAGGTATCCACTCTCCACCATCCTGGAGGCAGTGTTGCGCTGTCTGCTTTGGCCATGTCGGCCTCACATGCTGTTTGTAGCGATCAAGCGCAGGCGGTTTACTGTAGGGGCTTGATGCGGCGCGTCGACTCTCGAAGGGCTCTCTGTTTGGTCCATATCTGACATATCTGATGCGGTTTGTGGTGGTTGGAGTATAGAATGAGAGAGTCTCTTGCTGGTCGACTCTGGCCCTCGTGCTGGAAGGTTTCTGGCACAGCAGGAGTGTTGTACGGTGACTGCTGATGCTCTGGTATTGTATCAGTGATCTCCTGTTCGATCACGCTGGGTGGTGGTTCTGGTTCTTTTGCAGTGCTGAATGGCGGTGGTGCTGATCGAGTGGTTGGAGTGAGCTCCATGCCACGCTGTTCCGGTGTTGTTGTGTCTGTGGGCACGTTTGGCTCCATTGGCTGGTCATCATCAGGCTCACCCGATCATAGGTGCTGCGGCGGTAGCTGTTGATCGGTGCGCACGGTCTGTCCTCAGCGCAAAGGTGGTAGTGCCTGTCCAGTGGAAGGGCATTCCCCGGTTGGCGTTGGGAAGTCGCCAGTCATCTCTCAGCACCGTTCGGTTGCTGTGTGGCTGTTCTGGTCTTCGGATCGTCGTGGCTTTGGAGTCTTGGAAATCCTGCCATGGGGCATGGTCATCGGACGTTGGTACATATAGTGTTTGCCTGGGCCTGACATGGATGCGATGCCATGTGAGGCCATCTTCCTCGACATCCCAGTGATCTTGTGGTCCAGCCGGGTTCACAGCAGGTGGTTCCGTGATGTCGTCTTCATCTTCGGTGACCACCTCAGCACGCTTGCGCTTGTTTGTCTTGGTGAGGTCAGCGTAGAGCGTTGTGCTTCTGCCACGGATCTGGTCTAGGGCCTGTTCTCATCGGTGTGGTTGAGATCTGGCCTCAAGTGTTCACTGGAAAGTCGTAGGAGAGTTGTGCTGTGTGCAACCGGGTAGATGTTAGTTGTTGGGCCTGCGCAGCCTGGCTCGGTCATCACGACCACTCCAGACCCTTTCCGTCTTAACTTTGGCCCTGCTCCACCAGGGGTGTCACGCCAATAGTAGACGCTTGGCCAGTGGCGTAGTGGTACTGGACGGCCTGGTGTTGGCGGAGGAGAGCTCGGCGCAACCTGGCGTCATTGTCGACCTCGATCATGTGGTAGCTGCTTGCTTCTGCAGGTGGAGCTTTTGTTCCATAGCTTCGCTTGGAGTCAGCTGGGCTGTCGTGAGTTGTGATCCATGAATCGGGCGTGGGAAGCTGCATGCCCATTGCCCATTGCGTGGCATTGAAGCCGTGCACATTGGGTGTGTTGTTGATCTGAACCACGACGTAGGAGAGAGGGCAATCTGGTCATGGATGTTCATGCTGTCATCCAACTGTTGCGCTAGGAAAAGTTCAACGCCGCGCCCCAAGACTTGATGACGTCTTTCGACTACGCTCAACCTGGTATGTGCCTGGCCTGGGGCAATCTCAACTTCGGTTCTATGGTCGCTCGCCCCACGTTGGATGAGGCTCTCCGATAGCTCTCTGGTCAGAACACGGGCTGCCATGAACTTGGTCGTGGTGTCCACGATGGACAACACTGGAACTGGAGGCGGTTTGTCTCGGCTGTGTCGTCGTGGAGGATGGATCCACACGGTGTCTGCTTGGACTCTGGTGTTGCAGCTGCCGGCTGTTCGCAAGGTGCTCTTGGCAACTTGCGCTGGTGCTCGGTGGGCATCACATAGCTGGCATGTATGTTCTCGCGCTGCTAGAAAGATTGAGGCACTGGCATTCTTTGTCTTCAGCACCTTTGCCAGTACCAAGTTGGTTGGATGGCTGAGGTTCCGATGTGGTCGGTGTACGGTTCAGCGCTGCCAGTTGGGTCTCCTGCAGCCTTGTGGGGATGCCACGGTTGTTGTCGATCTGGTCATCATCCTGTTCCATGAATGGTGCACGCTCTCTGTTGCTCTGCAGCGGCGGCAGCGTCTGCTGTTGTTTTGTTCCGCTGTTGCTTGTATTGCTTCTGTCGGTTCGTCTGGCCAGAAGTCGTGCTGGGTGAAGTCATGGAGGATGTTGGCCCACTGTTCGCACATCTGTGGATGGTAGCTTCCAGCTGCGGCGGCTCGACTTGGGAGAAGTGCCTTCCAGTGGGAGGTGGTAGTGGTCATCAGTGCAAAGTCGTTCAAAGTGTTCTGCTTGGGGCTCGTGTGTCACCCTCATTGTGAGTTTGCGGATGTGTTGCTCAATGCCGTCATGGCCTGGCATGGTGGCTCCGTACTGGCACATTGGTCGATGCGGGCGTCATAGCCTTCAAGCTGTTGTAGGGTTTGTGTCTCCCAGGACTGTGCGTACCTGGGGTGCTCAAAGAATGAGATGCGTTGCTGTTTGCGTTGTTTGTTGTGAATGGTCTTGCTTGCTGAATCTGAGGTGCGTTCCTTCCTCATGTTCTTGTTGTGCTTCGAGTCGCTCTTTGTCGGCCTCCGTCTTGATGTTGAGTCGCTGCATAGGCGACCACTTGGTGCAAGGAGGTGCGATCCAGATAGCTTCGGGGGCTGCATGGTAGAAGAGGTGAGTGAAGTCTCGCTGATGGCTGGGTTTGGTGAAGTCCCAACCGTTCAGGATGTCGAAGGTCTTGACTTGGTATCCTTTCTTGGCCATGGCGGTTGCCCAATTGGCGTTGCCAGAGTAGATTTCCAGAACTGCATTGTTCTGGTTTCATGGGCAGCAAGAACTTCATCCGTGGTTGCTTTGCGATGCAATGCTTGTTGCTGTTGATGTAGTCTCAAGGTGCGGACCGGTTTGTCGGTCAGGGCACGCCAGTGTGTGGTGTCATCGTCGGATGGGTCAGATGTTTCGTTGCTGTCGCTGTCGCTGGATGTCTCCTGTTGCTCTGTTGGGTCATCGCCGCGCAGTGCTTCCTCCAATTGGAGGTCTGGCATTCTTTGGCCTGTCAGCTCCAGGTAGTGCCAGAGTGTGTAATGCTCAGGAGACTGTTGTGTGTCAGGTGGTCGCTGTGTCCATGGGTTGTAGGTCTCCTCAAGGACGTAGTCAAAGGCATAGGGACCTGTGAGCTTCTGCGAAGTGAGGTCGTCATCCAACCTGAGGAGATGTTCTTTTCGTGGACCCATGGCGATTGGCTTCCACTCATCTTCGCAACCTTCACGGGCCTTCACGGTGTCATCGATGTAGTTGAGGTGAGTCTTCAAGGCCTTCAAGATTGGCCTTCCAGGGAGCAAGAAGTGGTAGTGCTCGGTCTGGTAGCCAAGCCTGTGGCAGTGCTCGATGTAGTGCATGAGGGTCCCATGTCCCAACACCATGCAACTTGCTCCTCCATCCAAGGTGCCACGTAGGCCTTGTGGTTTGGCGGCAAGGTCCTTCATCTCAGTCGACATCATCATGGGGACTCACTCTTTGTCTTCTTGGAAGAACTGGTGGTCGTGGATGCTGGACTGCGTTTTGCAGTCTGGGGGCATTGCGCTGCATAATGTCCAGGCTGGCCACAACGAAGGCATGTTCCGGTCCTTGGCGATGTGTTCATGGATGCTGCAGCTTTCTTACCTTTTGCCCCTTTTCCTTTGGACTTTGGTGGATAGGGTCTCTGGGGGCCGGTGCCTTGGGCAGCATTGGTGTCTGTCCGGGCGACGACGGGGTAAAAGCTACGGTTCATCTTCAGTTCTGCGAAACGCCGGCGGGCGTCAAGGTAGGTGGCATAGCATTCCTCCCACTCAGGGTCGTCCATGTCAGGTAGATCATCTTCCTGAGCGGCATGGAAGTGTTCTTCTTCATTGGGGTCTTCCTCATAGTAGGCACCCTCATGCTCTTCATCCTCAGGGAAGTCGTCATAGTTCTGCTGGAGGTAGTGTATGCCGTTTGAGGTTTCTTCCAGCGGCTGTTGCGCTTGCCACGGCCACTGGGTCGTTGGAGGTGACTGAATCCAACTCTTCCCCTGTAGTCCTGGCCAAAGAGGTAGTACATGGCTTCCTCGACTTTGGCCTCCTGCAAGGTGGGGCCACATTGTGACTGCACCAACTGCGCGACTGCTTCAGCTCCTGGGTCAGGCCACCTCGACGAAGAAGAAGCCATCCAGTGACCTCAGTGGGCAACTTAATGCCATGCTTCTCCACTTCTCTCAAGCACTCGCGGTGATCCGTGCAGTAGGCCAGGCCATCAAGGTGTGCTCTCCTGGAGTAGAAGAACTTCTCAAAGGCTCTGGGCTGTTCAACCCTTTCGTCATACTTGAGTGCGGTCGAGGACCTCGATGATCTTCTCAAAGCCTTTGTCCTTGCCATCGCTGATGGCCTCAGCGATCGGCTCGATCTGCTTCCAGGCAATGCCGGTGAGGTTGGTGATGATGTTGATGATCTCTTCAAGAGGCTTCTTCTGTATCACCATCTTCTTGTGGTAAAGATGGATGCGAGCGTGCCGCTCTCTGTAGTGCGAGGGCCTGTTGTTGAACTGAGGGGCCCAGCCCAGCTGTCCTTGGTGGACTCTGTAGCGCTCGTCGATGATGTAGCCATCAATCCTGTAATCCTCTGGGGCGATCTCAAAGGCAGCGCAGGTAGCGTATGGAGCTCGAGCCCGTAGGCTCCGCTACCAATTTGATGGTAGCACCAGCTTGAAGCACCGCTGGAAGCGCGCTCCAACTCAAAGGAACAAAGCTGCAAAGCTGCCGCCGCGACCTTTTCGCGGGACAGTTGCCACTCAAGGCATGGCGTCACGTGACATGTGAACCCGCCCTGAGCTGGACATGGGGCGGTTCGCGCCGAAAGGCGCAGCGGTGAAAGCATCAAGTCGTTTGATCTGACATCGGGCGCTCAAGCGGCCGAACTTCGAACTCGATGTGTGGGACACACATTCACAGGTGTGGAATACTTTGTTCAAATATGCTGCTCATGGAGTCGGCGCGACAGGACGACAAGGGAGAGACGGTTGTCCCATGGCCTTAAAAGGCCACGCCATAATAGTCACACACCGAGAACACGCAAGCTGAAACAGCGCGACAGCATTCCTGACACCGCCGCCCCTGGACCTGGTTGATGTACGTTTTTTGATGTTTTTGCTTCCTGCGGTTGTCCCATGGTCTTTAGAGCAATGTGCTCTCTTCCTATACCTGAAGTAGGGGCCCAATAGCTCGCTATCTGGGGAAAGTCTGAGACGATGTGTTCATTGCAGCGCCAAGGTGCATTACTTTTGCCTCAATAATTTGATTGTCAAAGCTGATTCCTTTGGGGAGTTTCCCTCCATCTTCGCCTTCACGGTCGCGGGAAGTTCGGGCTCTCCATTGCATCGGGGCACGCCATGCGATCCGTGGTCGATGGCAGCCCTTCTTCGCACCAGGGAGGCCGAGCAAGCGCAGGAAGAGCGCCGCAGGGCGCCAGCGAAAGCCCAAGCGGATCAACTGCTGACCGGCTACTTTTGACTCTTGACAGGGAGCGCTCCGGGCGAATGAAAAAGTGGAAACCGCATGGCCAGAATGAATGCGCAGCACGCCACCTTGCTCATGTTTCTGGAAAGGCTCACACCAAGTAATTGCGTTTGTATTACATACAATGTGAAGGACAGAGTAATCGAATACGGCACCTCTACCTGAATATCTCAAAACAACTGGTTCGTGCGATTGTCATCGCGAAGCCACCTGAACTTTTTTGGCTATCTGCATGACTTGGCCTTCTGAGGCTGAAGCTTCTTCAATTTCCTGATGTCATCGAGGCACGTGGAAAATAATAAAAGGTGTTCTGCAAAGCCTCGTTCGCGCAGCTTTGTGCCGCAAGTCGTTCACAATCAATCGAATGTGGGAGGCAATTTTGGGCGACTTGCATTTGCACCATCTCACTGACTACTTGTGGGAGTCTCTTGCACGCAGACAGAGGAACAACATTTGCGTGGCCCGCAATGGTGTGACAGAGGCCTTCCAACTTGCATTGAATGTGTGACGAGGCTGTGCAATACTTTGACCGGCTTTTACATGAAGTGCAAGGCACGCTTCACACGCTTGCCCCATCATGACGCGTGGCCACGCGCGCCAAGGTCCTTGGAGAGGAAGCGCAGTCCTGCAGGCTGCTTTTGTGTGAGGCCACGCGTAAGGCACGAGAGCATCAGAATCCGTTGGCAATGAATCACTCTGTCAATGGGTTTAGATTTTGGTCCTGCACGCGCCAAGTTCTGACAGGTCCTCTTGAAGAGCTTCCAGCTGTTGGGTTTCACACCTCTTGACAAGATATGATTCTCACACAGCAGTGTACAGAAGGCATTGCTTCCTAGGCCACGCAGATTGTTGGAGCTAGGCCTGCTTGTCCTGCAGTCCCCGCACCCTCAAGCATGGTTCAGGAGACTATGTTCAATAAGTTATGTAAGCCAGGGCGAGTGGGTCTAGGGCCTTGTACTGTACAGCAGAGATTCATGGATAAACAATTTAGATATGTTCTGTCTGAGCGTTCGCAGCCGTCCGCAACCATTCGCAACCGACAGCGACCGTTCGCGGTAGGATGCTAAGGCGCTGACATTGGGGGAAGGTTTTGGAGGGTTTTGGGTCGAAGCATGACGTGTCAGATCCTGTTGGGTGTGGCTGTGACATTGGGTGTTGCATCGACGTTGCGTTTTCGTGACAAATCTCAGCTGAAATTATGATTTTTGTGGATGGAACGTTTCGAAATCATTCCAAACCTGTGGTTGGCGCAAACTTTGCTGAAGCTCTCATGACATGATATTGTCACTTGTCGTGGCAGGTGCAGGACTTTGTGGGTGTGGAAGTGGAATTGGCAGGCGCAGGGAATCGTGAGGTTGCGAGTTGTGGTGGAGGTGAATGTTGCTGTGACACTGGGATTGGCGTGTAAGCGGGTGTTGTTTGGAGGGGCTGGGAATCGCGAAAGCGCTTGGCAGGGCTGCTTGGTGTGAGTGCTCCGATGGGGCTTCCCGCTTGACTCTTGACTTTTGGAGGAGGTCTCATACGAAATGCTCGTTTTGGAGACTTTGACGTGTGACCTCTTGGACGAAGTTTCGTACGAAACGCTCGGTTTGGAGACTTGACGCATGACTTTTGGAGGTGTGACTTTTGGAGGAAGTCTCGTACGAAACGCTCGTTTTGCAGACTTGAAGTGTGAGTTTTTGAGGAAGTCTTGCAAGAAACGCTAGTTTGGAGACTTTAGTTTTAGTGTTTTACAGTCCCACAAAATTTTCCTGCAGAGCCCACAAGAGTATCCGACAAGAGTGTCCCAAAAGAGTGTCCGACAATAGTGTTTTACCAGGGTGTCCATAAGAGTGTCCGACAAGAGTGTCCTACAAGAGCGCCCCACAATAGTGTCCCACAAGAGTGTCCGACAAAGAGCGTCCTACAAGAGTGTCCTACGAGAATGCCCACAAGAGTCTCCCACAGGAGTGTCCCACCAGAGTGTCCGGCAAGAGTGTCTTAGTGCGCCACAAGAGTGTCCCACAAGAGTGTCCTACAAGAATGTCCCACAAGAGTGTTCTACAAGAGCATTTTTCGCAAGAGCGTCCCACAAGAATGCCATACAAGAGTGCCCCAAAAGAGTGACTCAAAAGAGTGTCTTACAAGGGTGTCCAACAAGAGTGTCCCGCAAGAGTGCTCGACAGGAGTGACCTACAAGAGTGTTCCACAAGAGTGTCGGAAAGTGCTCGACAGGAGTGGCCTACAACGTTACAAGAGTGACATACAAGAGTGTCCCACAAGAATGTCCGACGAGCGTGTCCTACAAGAGTGGCCTACAAGTGTGTCCCACAAGATTGTGAAACACTTTTGTAGGACACTTTGCGAAACACTCTTGTAGGACTCTCTTGTGGGGCACTCTTGTGGGACACTCTTGCGGAACACTCTTGTAGGACACTCTTGGGGGACTCCCTTGTAGGAAACTCTTGCGGCACTCTTGTCGGACACTCTCGTGGAACACTCGCGAGGGACACCTTGCGGGACACTCTTGTATGTCACTCGTGGGACACTCTCGTAGGACACTCTTGCGGAACCCTGTTGCATTATGAAGTTGAAATCAACACACAGAGCCAAAGTCCTTCAAAAATTGAGAAAACAAAAATACTCAACTAGACGACGGTTGGCCCGAGAGCGAGAAAGGTGATTGTCAAGCATTCCCGAGTAAGGAAATAGTTAAAATCGAGTTGTCCAAGAGCCATGACTTCTTTATACAATCTGTTATTGAGTAAGAAGTTGCGAAGGAATTAGCTTTAAATTACACCACCGTAGACCCCAAACAGTTTGTGTTTTCAAAACCGGAACACTCTGCAACTAGAGCTTGCGACGTCCAGAGCTGGGAGACAAGGATTGCAAGGCAGAGGCGGCCACAGCAGTCCAGAGCTGGGAGACAAATGTAGACACAGAGGGAGACAAATGTAAAGGATTGCAAGCGACGTGCAGCCCCAAAACTGGTTGACAAATAAAGGATTGCAAGGCAGAGGCGGATACAGCAGTCTAGAGCTGGGAGACAAATGCAGAGCAGCTGGGAGACAAATGTGAAGGGTTGCAAGCGAGAGGGGGAGAGAAGAGGCACATGTAATGGAAAGAAGGAAGACAAGGCGGACACAATGACCAACGAGAAGGGGGACAACAAGGGAGACAAGAAGGGAGACAAAAGGAAACACAAGGGAGACAAGACGGACACAGTGCCCAACAAGAAGGGAGACAAGACCGGAGACAAAGGGAGACAGAAGAAAGACAAGGCGGACACAATGACCAACAAGAAGGGACACAAAAGGAAACAGAAGGGAGACCAGACGGACACAGTGACCAACAACAAGGGGGACAAGACCAGCGACAAAAAGAAACAGAAAGAAGACAACGCGGACAACAAGGAGGGAGACAAAAGGAAACAGAAGGGAGACAAGACCGGAGACAAAGGGAGACAGAGGGGACGAGGCGGACACAATGACCAACAAGAGGGAGACAAAAAGGAGACAAAAGATAACAGAAGGGAGACAAGACGGACACAATGATCAACAAGAAGGGAGACAAAAGGAAACAAAAGGGAGACAAGACGTACACAATGACCCACAAGAAGGGGGACAAGACCGGAGACAAACAAAGAATGAAGGGAGGCAAGGCAGTGACCAACAAGAAGGGGGACACAGAAGAACGGAGAGAAGCCAGAGGGAAGGCGGACACGCTGTCTGGCAGCAAGGCGGACACTTTTGGAAAGCATTTTGAACCCCCAACAGTAACCTGTTTGGGGAAGTGCAGAAATCACCTGGGAGACAAAAATGAATAGAAATGCTGGAGAGGGGAAAAGGGCGGATGCCAGCAGTGCAGGCACCGAACCTGGAAAACAAAAGTAAACAAACCACATGGGAAACAAATGAATAGAAATGCTGCATGGCCAGCGGAAAAGGGCGGACACCAGCAGTGCAGGCAGCGAACCTGAGAGACAAAAGTAAAGAAATCACTTTAAAGACAAACGAATAAACTATACCGGCATAGACCCCAGATAGCACTTCAAGAAAAGTTGGACACCATGGCATGAGCGGGAGACAAGGTTGGGAGACATCCCACTGAAAGCCGGGAAAGGATGGAAAAGGTAAACAATACCTAAATCATCTTATAACCGCATCCGCGTCAAAGGCAGGCAAGAAAATGACAAGGCGGCAGCGGCAGCCAAGAGCGAAATCAGGAACAGAGACAAGCTTGGGAAACACGGCGGCAGCGGCAGCCAAGAGCGAAATCATGAAAGGAAACAAGCTTGGGAGACAAGCCGGCAGCAGCAGCCAAGAGCGAAGTTATGAAGGGAGACAAGCTTGGGAGACAAGCCGGCAGCCGCAGCCAAGAGCGAAATCATGAAGGGAGACAAGTTTGCGCAGTCATGAAGGGAGACAAGCTTGAGAAACAAGACGGCAGCGGCAGCCAAGAGCGAAATCATGAAGGGAGACAAGCTTGGGAGACGAGCCGGCAGCGGCAGCCAAAAGCGAAGTCATAAAGGGAGACAAGCTGGAGAAACAAGATGACAGCGGCAGCATGCGGCAGCCAAGAGCGAAGTCATGAAGGGAGACAAGCTTGGGAGACAAGCAGGCAGCGGCAGCCAAAAGCGAAATCATGAAGGGAGACAAGCTTGGGAGACAAGCAGGCAGCGGCAGCCAAAAGCGAAATCATGAAGGGAGACAAGCTTGGGAAACAAGGCGGCAGCGGCAGCCAATTTCCGCAATCCGGAACCCATCCATTGAGAAGTAAGAACCCCTATAGCTTCCAGCTATCTGGGGAAAAAACATCTTAAGAAAGAATTGAGAAACCCTACGTAACGGCGAACTATGTGGGGAATGAAAAAGAAATGTTGCATCGCCAGCGGAAAAGAGCGGACACCAGCAGTGACACACCTCACAGACAAATGAATAGAAACGCTGCATGGCCAGCGGAAAAGGGCGGACAGACCTGGAAAACAAACATGCTACATGGCCAGCCGAAAAGGGCAGACACCAGCAGCGACAGACCTGGGAGACAAATGAATAGAAACGGCACATGGCCAGCGGAAAAGGGCGGACACCAGCAGTGACACACCTCGGAGACAAATGAATAGAAATGTTGCAACGCCAGCAGAAAAGGGCGGACACCAGCAGGGCAGACCTGGGAGACAAATGAATAGAAATGCTACATGGCCAGCGGAAAAGAGCGGACACCGGCAGCGACAGACCTGGGAGACACATGCATAGAAATGCTACATGGCCAGCGGAAAAGGTGACAGACCTGGAAGACAAATGAATAGAAATGCTACACCAGCATGTTTCGCGCTCCCCAGTGGCACGGCGCCGCGCAAACGCACTTCCCACCAAGACCTCGCAAATCCGCATGGCACCGCGACATCACGGACGTAATTTCGCCACACGGTCTGCCCACACACTAGAAGGCATCATATCGCACCAGAAGCACAAACACTTCAGGGTCCAGCTTCGCAACGCTGTTCTCCGGACTGGCCACTTTTGGGTCCAGCTCCGAGCTCTTTCCCGTACTACATTTGCACTACAAATACTACAAAACTGACCACTTCTGAGTCCAGCTCCAAAAAGCCCTTTCCCGCACTACATTTGCACTACAAACTGGCCAGGTCTGAGTCCAGCTCCACAAGTGACTCCAAAACCAGCGTTTCGTACGAGACTTCCTCCAAAAGTGAAGCGCCAAGTCTCTAAAACCAGCGTTTCGTACGAGACTTCCTCCAAAAGTGAAGCGCCAAGTCTCCAAAACGAGCGTTTCGTACGAGTCTTCCTCCAAAAGTAAAGCGCCAAAGTCTCCAAAACAAGCATTTCGTACGAGACTTCCTCCAAAAGTGAAGCGCCAAGGCTCCAAAACGAGCGTTTCGTACGAGACTTCCTCCAAAAGTGAAGCGCCAAGTCTCCAAAACGAGCGTTTCGTACGAGACTTCCTCCAAAAGTGAGGCGCCAAGTCTCCAAAACCAGCGTTTCGTTCGAGACTTCCTCCAAAAGTGAAGCGCCAAGTCTCCAAAACGAGCGTTTCGTACGAGACTTCCTTCAAAAGTGAAGCGCCAAGTCTCCAAAACAAGCGTTTCGTTCGAGATTTCCTCCAAAAGTGAGGCGCCAAG